GCCCCCTTTTTTTTTTTTTTTTTTGCATTTCCAGCAGAAATATGCCTCTTAGTCCCCTCTTTCTTACCTCACATGCATCATATCTGTTTCCTCTGCACGTGCCACATCTCAGAGTGGGAATCAGTGTTTGGCCTTTTTGTTTTGCTTGTTGAGTATGTCTGGGATATCCATCTGGTACAAGGCATAACTGCATAAGTGACTCATAAAACACATTAGGATGGTAATAGCTTTCGAGTTGAGTGGGTATAGCATGTCTCTATTGGATACAGACTCAAATGATCCTGCCACTCAAAGAAGCCAAGGAAACCGGTGTTATTCTGCATCTGTATAAGCATGTTTTCAAGCTAATTCTTTGACTGCTAGGATCTCATTTTTACATTGATATTTACATTTGATATCCATAATACCTTTCATTTAAGTGTTACAGTGCAATGACTTCTGTTTTAATGCTTTAGCTTTACCAAGAACTTTTGAGTGCAAAACTTGAGGCACAAGGGGCTCATGAACAACTTGCTTCAATGCAATCTGCAGTACTTCTTGTTGTAAGTTCATTTCCACCCTCATATTGCTTGATGATAATTAAGACTGACATTCTTTAGGCCTCCGCTTTAAGCATGCTATATAACCATTTTTCATGTCTCCTGGGGCATTAATGGATACACTTCTTTCAGGAGGATAACATGAACTCTGAAATTGAGCTGCTGAGAGAGGTTCAAGATATGATGTCAGAATTTGAAAATTCACGAACCTTAATTGATTCACTCATTCCTGTGGTAGAGGAACTTGTCCTGTCTTTCTCTGCCATATCCAAACTAGTCCTTGTGAGTACTGTATGTCATTGCATAATCAATTTTAAATTTGGTCCTTCTTTTCATATATTCCTGGCATGTATTCAATATGTTCTTAAACAACACACGGTTTTATCATTTATATATTCTTATATATTAATTCTAGTACTATAGTTTATTATCTATGTGTATTCTACGACCTGATCTGGTTTCCCACTTTCAGGATTTGAAGTCTTCAGCACTTGACAGTTCCAACCAAATAAGATCCATAATTAGAAACCATGAGAAACTACAATCTTTCTTGAGGCAAAAGATTAATGTAGTTGAGGATGAAAAGGTGCGGATTGACTGCATTTCCTTTTTGTTTGTCTTTATAATTAGATCTTTGACTACCAAGTATATTTGAGTTTCTGTTGAAAGTACCTTTTAACGCTTGCTAATCAAAATCTAGATTCTACTGGATAATCAGTCTCTGGATCTGCATAATCAGATAGAAGAACTGAAAAGAGCTATTGAAGATTCTGGAAATGCATTAACAGTAAGTTGCTTCACTTTCTCCGATATCTTCCCTTTTTTATATCTCCACTTGCGCTGACAGAATCATGTTCTTTTCTAGGAAATCTCTGAAAAATGTGAAGCAGAAAAATCTGAACACCTTTCTCAAATTCAAAGTCTTCAAAAGGAACTGTCATGCTTATCTTCCAGTTCCTTAGTCAGAGAGAAGGAAAGCATTAGAAAAGATTTGGAGAAAACAAAAGCAAAGTTGAGAGACACAGAATCCAAACTTAGGAATGCCATCCAGGAGAAGACAAAACTTGAGGTCTCATTCAAATTGTTCTGAAAGTTGATTTTCTTGTGCCGTCTGAGGCATTTCTATCTTTTCTGACAGTATCACATTCTTAGGGTGAAAGAGCTTGTGCTGAGAGGGAAATTAAACGCTTGAATGGACAGAGGGCTATTCTTGAGCGTGACATCAATAAACGAGACTCGATCATTGGAAGAAGGCGTGATTCAGTTGTTGATAGGAGCTCTAATGTGTTTGACTCCAAAAGAGCGAAGAATTCCTCTGTTTGTGTTGAACATGCTGTGCAGGTAGGTATGGTGTGCTCAAACTATAGTGTAAACAAGTTCAAGAAGTGTCCTATATTCCTTAAATGTGTACTGGAACGGAAAAAACCACTTTTGACATTGTCTGTTGGTCCAGTTTTGAAATTAGTGTCACACATGTAGATTGAGCCTAACTTTATGGTGCTGAAGGAATCTGGGTGTCCCCCGCAAAAACTTAAGGCAATGACTAGAGTGGTCCTAGACCTTTATAAAATCCTTTGGAAGCCCTTACACAACCTATGTGGGACATTTAATAACTTAACACTCTCCCACCTACGTAATCCAATTCTGGTGGTTCACACATGAACTTTGTGGGTGTGAGAATATGCTTACCCCAAGGTTGATTCTGATACCTTGTGAAAGAATCAGTGCATTTAGCCCAAAACCTTAAGTCAATGGTGGAGTGGCCCTAGACCTTTATATACAACTTTTGAAGCCCTTAATCCATGCAGGAAAATCAGTAACTCAATAATGGCAAAACAGGAGGGCGGACCAAAAGTTGGTGTCTTTTTACTGTAACTTTTGTTCAAGAAACCATTGATTTTTGAATTTTCACCTGCCATTAAAAGAACTCCTGACAAGTAAAGTAGGACAAGCCTGAAAATTAACAAAAGGCTGTCCAAGCCAGGGCTTGGAGAGTGACATTTGTGCTTTCACTTCATTTTCATGTATGGGCTTTTTGGGTTCTATTAATCTCAATCTAAATCCTCTTACAGCCCCCAAGGCATCGTTGTCTAACTTACATGCGACGTAATAACATTTTCAAATTAAAGGATCAGATCATCATATGGGAAAAGTACTTTACCCATGTTTCTTCTCCCAATCATCTTATGATGACGATCTCAGGATAACCTCAAACATTTCTAAGTGGTTAAACTTTATTACTAAATTAAGCATCACTAAACTTGGTATAAACATGCTATATTTTCTGTGCCCTCAAAGAAAAGAAAACCTTATTGGTATGCATCATGAAGTCTAGTCTGCTTCTATTTATCTTAGAATATACTGATTTAGCAAAATTCCATAGCATGTTTGTTTCTTTCTTGAGATATTTCTCATCCAACTTAGGTCTAGGAATCACTTTGAACTTTATTTGTTAGCCCTATATTAAACAGCATGGGCAGCCCGGTGCATGAAGCATCCTACGTTCACGTAAGGTCTGGGGAAGGGCAGCACCCTAAGGGGTAATGATGTAGACAACTTACCCTAATGTAAGCATTAGTGGCTGCTTCCACGGCTCGAACCCTTGATCTGTATTAAACAGCATGTTGGGCATTTAATGCCCATAAGACGCTCTGTCATTATATTTACTCTTTCCATCAATCTTATAAATAGTACTCCCTTCATTTCTATTGATATGACACACTTTCCTTATTAGTCCGTTCCAAAAGGAATGACACATTTCTATATTTGGAAACAACTTAACTTTGAACTTTTCATTTATCCATTTTACCCCTAAGAGAAGTTTTTATAGCCACACAAATGTCATAGCCCCACAAGCTTTTACCCCTTAAGCTTTTAAGACCACAAGTTTCAAAAGTCTTTTTTTTTCTTAAACTCCGTGCCGAGTCAAACTGCCTCGTATAAATTGAAACAGAGAGAGTATCTCATATCCTTATGATATGAAAAGTAGACAAGTAACTGATTGCCTGCATTCTACTCGAGAGGAAGTTAGTTGTCTTTATTGCTTATTCTTAAGCTACTTTTCCCTTTCTGGTGTGAAGGAGGAGTACAGGAAGCTGGAAGTGCTGGCATTTGAGATGGAGACAACTATTGCTTCTTTGGAAGAGGAATTAACAATTTCTCATGCGGAAAAAGAAGAAGCCATTTCTAGAGCAGAAAATTTGGCATGTGAATTGCAGGCTTTATCTGACGAGTTGAATATGTCAAATACCGAACTAAATATGCTGAAGGAAGAGGTGTCATCCCTTGTAAGTTTATGTTTGTTAACTTTTCCTCTGAGATTCCATGCCTTTTGAGCATGATTTATTAGCTTAAATTCTACTGTTCTTTCTTCAGGAAAATAAAACATTAACTTATTTCTATTTTATTTTTTCTATGGCATTGCAGAGATTATGTTCGGAAGAATCTGAATCACGATGTCAGAGATTGGAAACTTCTGTCAACTTTTTGGTAGAAGAAAAAGAAGATTTAGCTATGGTATCAATTGAAGTTGCTTTGGGGAACATGTATTCTGAGGCTCCATTTAACTGTTTCAATTACGTCATTTATGAGTGCCTTCTTTCCTTTTCAGCAACTAACTGATGCCCTTTTGGCAATGGAGGAGGAAAAGGCCATATGGTTTGCAAGGGAGAAAGCTACAGTTGAAGCAATCAATGAAAAAGCAAAATCTTATAGTGCTGAAATCGCCACTCTATCACAGAAAATGACAGAGGTAACCTTCAGATTTACACATGATGTAGTTGAACAATTTAAGCATATTCTAGAAACACTGCAGTGGCTCTTACGGATGATATTGAGGATCTCTTCAAGGATTCAGTGCTTGCATGCTATTTTCTTTGGTACACTGTCTAGAGGGAACATGATATTTATGGAAAATTTATTGCCGAGTTTAAAGCATAGTTAATTCAAAGCTAGTTCACATTTGAACTTCTTTCTTAAAAAATAATTAAGAGAATTGTTTGTGAGGTCTGAGTACCATATTGTAAAATGTATCCTTTCTATTTGCTTTGAACATCTTATCTTGTGAGATCTTTAGAAAAGCACATAGCTAAATTAAAGAAATCAAAGACATCCATTGAGGTGATGAACTTAGCAAAACATGTTGCACATTTCTGTACATGTCAGTTGCACATGATTTACTTATTGAATCTTGATTTATGATCCTGACTTTAAACTACAGGTGAAGAATGAACTTGAGAGTTGTAGAATGCAGTGCAAGCTCCTTGAGGAGAGATTGGTCGTCTCAGAAAATAATGTGCTGTTGGAGAGAAGTTTCAGGTTTGTCCGTCCTTTGCTCCCTATCACTCTGATATGTTGCTACTCCCTTTGTCCAAAAGGTTTTCAATCGTCAAGTGAAGTAACTATTGACTAATATTTTCAAGTGTATTCTGTTGTCTTTTTTAAAATGTATTTTGATGCAAGATCACAACATGTACTACACTTATGCTTTCTGAAATCTAAATTAATTTCAAGATTGAGTTTAATCTTGTCCTATTTAGCTCTAGTAAAATTGGTACTCAATAAGTAAAAAGTGACTGGTAAATTGGGACAATGGGGTGTGTTTCTTTATGTATCAGTGTACTTTTATAGCAGTGGTGTTCGGGCTAGCTTGTATGTACCTACACTACTCCACCGTGGACCTGCTCCTCCCACCGGCACTGATGGAAAGAAATCACCTAACATTTTGCTTCTGCTGAGATTTGAACCTGGTCTATCCGGGGTTTCACCAACTTCATTGAATGCTACTCCTCACACTTGGGTGCTAGGACAATGGAGTATATAATAGCTTGTTCATATATTTTCTAAATTTTCTTGAGGTGCCTAGTTGATCAAATATAAACTTTGATTCTACAGCTGCTACTACCCTCATCAATAAAGCTGGGTGTAATCTAGGTGCCATGAGTTTTGTATTCATTTAAACCTTTAGATCAATCTGCCTGATGATAAACATACATTGTTTTACAGTGAAGAGAAATTACTAGAGATCGATCAACTTAGACTTGGCCTGAGAGTTGCTGAGGAACAATGTAAAAGATCTCAAGAGGTAATATGTTTGTACTTTGTCAAGCTTTCAGAATTTATTTTGAGTGCGAGAATAATGATTCAGCCTAGAAAAGTATTCTGGGGTTCGCGAAGCTGGATATACTTTAGTTGAATAATTATGCCGTCTAACTCTTCTCGTATCGCCTTGTTGCTTATTTGACTTAGAAAGTGAGGAAGTGCTTTTGTTCTTCAGCATCGGCTTTACCACTCTGTCAGAAGTACTCCCTCCAAGAAATTAATGAATAAAGAAATGATACATAGTGGTATACAACAGCTGGAGCCAAGTTATACTGGAACAGAATTTTTGCCTCGAGCTTGCTAATTTCGGAACCTTGGTGAATTCCTGGTATTATAAATTAATAATTCATGACATATTATGGTGAATAAGACAATCAAGCAATCAGCTTTGCCACTTTTTGCCCAATCAAATGGTTGGGCTGGCTATACAAATCCCTATATACATTCCACTCGTTTGGGTCAATTTCATTCGAATACTAGTAACAATTTGTCTTTTAGGTTAAATTAAGGGTTCTCTTAGTTAAAGGATTTATTATCTCACACTTCTTGCATACACTGGCATACAAGTCTTTAACTAGACTAGAATGACTTCTGGAAATAATCGGGCATAATATTTTCCTTTTTTATATAAGTCAAGATTTGTTAGAACTGGTACCAAGATGGTACTAAAAAGTACAAGTCA